GTGACACAGAATGATATACACCTACTGGCTAAGATATTTTCTTGGATGTTTAGGTTGACCTTTCCATTTTTCATCCAAATCATGTTACTTTTGAAAGTGAAAGGGGGGCTATTAATAATTACACTGGAGCATCAAGCATATATAAGCACTCTACCAGTCACATCGAGATATATCCTCATTGCAATTTGTTAAACTCAACTGTACTGAGGTATTTGGACGGATTTTATTGTGATTTCCTTGATACCTAAAATTATAGTGGTAAAAAGATGGTACATTTCTGAAATACAAGAAGTGTTTACAGGACCAAACAGTTCTTCCTTTGTGCCACTTCTGTTCTTAAGTCTTACCTCTATTATTCAACTGGTTATGAGATATTGCAATGACTGTTTTTTGTCTCTATCTCCTTTGCTATATCAAGCTAGGTAAGATCTGTTACTAGTGCAGTGCTTGTGGCCTGGAAGGAAGTCAATGTGTATTTTCTGAAGTTATTTGAATAAATTGAAAAGAACAGAATATTTTTAGGAACTTTCTTTTTTTAAGAGCATTAGTAAAGATAGGATTATATGTGCAAGAGGTGTGGTGTGTTACATGTAATGTACTTATATACCAGTATAGCACCATGCAGGATGCTAATGTATAGCAATTCATAAGATAACTTGGTATATCTGGGTTGAAGCAACAGTGTGGTACAATGTTTAAAAGGATCAGCTCTGGAGAAAGGCTTCTGGAATCTGAATCTAGACTAGCATGTAACCTTGAAAAAACTAGCTTCTGTGCATCTGTTTCTATCTGTAAAATGGGAAAGCAGTACTATTTCTCTCATGAAGTTGTAAAACATAAGTGAGTTGTTTCACGTAAGAGCTTAGAACTGGGCCCAATTATTGTAAATACTTGAGTTGGCTATTGTATTATAACTACTTATATTTTTATTATTAAAGACTGAAACTCACATGTGTAGATCAATAAAGATACAGATGTAGATGTTATACTCAAAGATTCAGGCTAAAACCGGGTTTCTTACTTATTCATGCAATGAAAAAACAACATGTTGCACTTAAATAGTAATTTAAGGATGGGAGTATGATCAGGTAGGCCAAAGAATTCACATGGGAGAAGACAACTGACTTAAATTGGCCTGATCCCAAATATTAAAGACTATGAAATAAATATAAAAACTTTTATAATCTCTTATCTTCTTATTTTCCTTTCCAACTTTCAAAGAGTAGAAATGTACTTAAAATATTTCCACTCATATCTGTGAACGTAGTAAATAAATTCCTTTTTCTTTAACCTTTATTCTCTTTCTTAGTTAGGACCTGAAATGGTTTCATTAACATATAGAAAGTTTATGTACATAATGAAAAATGACAATTTTTTTTTAAAAAGACAATTGAATTTCCCAAAGATTTATGGATTAATTGGGAAGAGTCACTTAATGTGCAGTAACAAAATAACAATATAATTTTTAGAATTTACATGTAAAAATGATTTAAATGTGTGATATTTTCATAAATGCACCATGCTGAAAAATTTATAAACTGTACATTATAAGTCTCCCACATAGAATTATTAGAAGTATGTTATGGGTTATTTAAGTGTTTACAAAGAGAATTTCTAGCCTCGTATAGTAATTTTTAAGCACTATCTCTCTGCTGTTTGATATTATGTTTTATAGAGTGTGTCTTTAGGAAATTTTAAAGCTGTTTCCACTCAGAACCAAGTCAACCAATATATGATATTGATGAATTCTGTAATAGAGTGGACATGTACCTGGCTTTTCTTTGAGTCTTAAAAAACTGATTGCTAATGGTCTTAAGCTGTGTTATGGTGTGCTACTACATTTCCAGGCCATATACCGCTTTCCTTTAGACTCTGCCCCCAAAATAACATCTTTGTGTTACTATTTTAATTTCACATGTAAGTATAATAGAAAGAGCCTCTTCAGGGAATGGATAAGCCTCTTACATATTATATACATCACTGCACGTTGTATCAGGAGACTGTTAACTTATCCTGTCACTTATCAGATGTTGGAATACATGTATGTGTGTGTGTGGATGTATGTGCGTGTTTGAGTATATATAGATACTCTGCTTTGTTGATCAGGTGAAAGTTTTCTTTTAAAAAATCCACTGAGTATCTTTGCTAGTTGTTCTATCTGTTTACCCTAAAAGTTGACATGCAGAACAGGTGTGAAGTTGAGAGATCAGCCATTTTCAAAGGGCATGGCAGCAGTTGGGAAGATTGAGTTTCTTACACTTTATACCTTGTGATGTTTGTTGCTTCCTATGCTACTAAGCTACTTTTCTCTGAAGACATGTCTTGTTCTATTAATTTGCACATTAGCCAGTGAATATAAGGTATGCATTATTATTCTTTTAATATATAATCTGTATATTATTTCCCATGAAGTAGAATAAAGGGAATGCTTCCTGTGCTAGGAAGAATTAACAGACACAGAAAATCAAATTAATCATTAAGAGGAATGGAGAGAAAAGATTGTTTCTCTCTTTTACACGTGCCAAATACAGTGTACCACTCTGTCTGGGAGCTGTATTCTCTTTGCCTTTTTCTATGTTGTCTTTGGTAGTTTATGAAAACATTCTAGCTTTGCTTTGATTGAGTTCGTTCATATTAAAATCAGACCTCAAAGTATCCTGTCCACATATCAGGGATAGGGAAGGAAAGAAACACTGCTACAATCCGATTCCATTCACAGTTACTGACTGAAAATTTCTACAAGCTCAACCTGGTGAGGTTGTGGGAGGGAAGAAGCTATGTTCCTGCCCTGTCCAAGCAGACAGTCCAGTTAGGATGATTGGTCAAATACCTAGTGCATGCAAGATGATTAGTGTCATAAGAGATCCCAAAACAGAGAGAAAGAGATCCCAAAACAGAGAGATCCCACCAACTAACATAGTAAAGGACTTCAAAAGAATGGGGACTAAAGCAGTACAAAGAAAATGTACAGTGTTGGGGAGGAAGAGAGGAGTAAAGGTAACTGAAAGTGACTTCTAGATGGAGGGGCTTACATGAGCAGTCACATAGGAACAGGTGAGCATGACATGTTCTAGGGACAATGTGGCTTGCTTGAATGACAGAGGCCTTGAAGCAAAGAACAGTGAGAATTAAGGCTATATGGTTCAGATGGGGTGATAAGAAGGACGATGCACTGATTCCAACCATGACCAGTAACTTAATTAGGCATTAAAATATGCTGTAGAATCGGATCTTGGAGGTGTCTCAGCCAAATAAAAATGATTTCTCTGTAATCCACTACTGATTTACCCATGCCCCTATTACTTTATTATCATGAAAATAAAGAATTGAATATATTAGGAAAAGACTTTGGGAATTTTTCCTTAAATTTGCACATCATATATTGTTTCATATTGAAAAAATGAAAGTAATATATATGAATCTAACAAATACAGAAATGACACAATATAAAAATGCTGTTCTTTCTTTAAAGAATTGTTTGTTTAATAAGGCTTTAACACACTGCAATAATGACATTTCTTGTAAACCATGTTCAAAGCTAGGCTGAAAATCTAGTGAAAATTTGATTAGCTATTTAAAAAGTTTTGGGTAAAATTATGGAAACATATTATATTAATTACCAAATCTAGTTTTAAAAGATGAAAAGTAACTTACGTTGCTATGTGTTTTATTACTAAATTATTTCTTATAATAGAAAAAAAATTAAGCATTTAATTTAATCAAATAAATAGAAATAACTTTTTTAGCTGTTCTCTTCATATAGGACTACAACAGTGTAGATGCTGGATGAGCATGGCCTGTCTTGTTTCTTTCGTATCTTGTTGCAGAATCAAAGTCAATCCTATTCCTCAGTACCACAGAGCTGGCTGAGACAAGACTTAACAAACCACAATTTTTATTGCATAGTTCAATTTCTATATTCACTCAGTGAAATTGCAGAAGGTTGGAGATCATGATAACAGAAATCAGTAGATGAACTGACCCTAGGAATGACAGCTCTCCTGTTTGCATCTTTACTAGTTCTCCCGCTAGTTTTTGTTTGCTTTTTTGATGTATGTATATGCACAAATTTGAGTCTTATAGAGAAGACAACCAGTCTGATGATATAAAATAGTTTTTATGACTGAAAAAAAATTATTAAGAAAGTATCATGAATGCTATTTGGGAAAAAGATTTCATTTATTTCCCCAAATTTGGCCTGGATA